AAACTTTTGTATTTGACGCAGGACGTCCTAACTCGAACTTCCTCTTCTTATGTGGAGGGCAACGTTTTCCACCAGTGGCACGTCTCTTATGCCAACTGTCTCGAGAAATACCCATGACCTTACCTGATATATACCCTAAACAGTAATTTTAGCTCAACACAAGCTAAATAGTCAAAAAATCAATGATCATTGTCACACACAACGGAAAAAAGTAATCAAAAGTTGATAAAAACCAGCAGATGAGAGAAAAAAGTAATTACTATACGGTGGCGAGCGCAAGTTTTTTCTTCATACATTGAGATACGAAAATCATGAAGTTATGTAAGACCATTGCAATGCATGGCCTACTAATTAACCACATTAAACTATGTAAATAAGCAGATCTCTTGGGTAACAGTTGGCTCTCTCGACGTGACAAGAATAACGCGTAAAACGATGTGCCAACTCTGATCTTCCAGAAAATTTAAACTCTTAATAAAGCGTAAGCTATGTGCAAGTTTCCGGAAGGTCCAAAACAGAGAAAGCAAATAGTGCAGGATACCGTAGTTTTAATGGTCATGTTATTGCAAGCCATTCTCAAATTTAAATTTAAAAATAGCGCGAAATTTTCGCGCAATATCACAATCGGTTCAATAATAAGCATATGAAAGTTCGGGATTATGTTTCTGAATCGGTGGTGTTTCACTGTTAGTTTGCGTGATACAGAAGTCACTATTTAACTTTTTTTTGTATTTTGTTAATAGACTTTAATGTTTTCTACTCCTTATTTTGCGGAAGTAATAGGCCGATGGGCTGTTTTTTATTGTTGTTGATTTGTTAGTTAGTCTCCTGTATAAATAACAGCTTTTGTTTTACAGTTATTGTAGTAAGATATGGACCTCATCGACATCGATGATGAAAACCGTTCACGTGAAATAACTGCAGAGTACTTAAATTTCTTGGATGATGCGGTAAACTACTGCTCAATATTAATTGACTTTTTCTTATTATAGAAATTTTAGTAAAGATTTTTACACTTTCTGTTCTATTTAATCAAACACTTCTTCTGTATTGATAGTTAGTTGACTTCTAACTAACGGTCTTTGCATAGTTCACATCTCATCTAGTTTTAGGCGGAAGACCGACTTTATACTCAAAAAATTGAAGAATTAACGAAAGAGAATGGGACTCGACTCATTGTTAACTTAAATGACTTACGGAGAAAAATTCCAGAACGTACCGACAGGTAAGTTAAAATATAATCTGTTTTCAGCTGCTACATTAGTCTTTATTGAATAGAAGTTACGAGATTTAAGTTGCTTCGGGATTTAAGATCTTTAGTATTAATCTTTATCTTTATATAAAGTTTTCTTTTAATTTTATGACCTAGTGATAATTAGGTTACTGAAAGAATTTGTCGAAGAGGTCATCTGTTTTGAAAAGGCTTTGAATGACGTTGTTCAACGCATAGACCCAGAGTATGCAAAGGGCCGCGACTTTTCGATTGGCTTCGAGGGCAGTTTTGGCAGCCGTCATGTAAACCCTCGTATCTTAAAGTCCCAATTCTTGGGAAATTTGGTTTGCTGTGAGGGCATAGTGACGAAATGTAATAAAATAACTGTCGCCTTTTTGTTTTTCTTGACCAGACTCTCCTTTATTTGCGGCGAAGGTTTTTTATGCTTTTTAGGTTCCGTCATTCGTCCGAAGGTGGTTAAAAGTGTACATTTCTGTCCTGCTACAAAAAAGACTTTGGAAAGGAAGTACACTGATCTGACAAGTTACAATGCTTTTCCAACGAGTGCCGTGTATCCGACAGAGGTAGTATGAAGTTTTTAGTTATTTTACCGCTCTACTGTTTGTTATAAGATTCACTTTTAGGACGAAAACAGAAACCCGTTGGAGACGGAGTATGGGCTTAGTACGTATAAAGATCACCAGTCATTTACGATTCAGGTGATTTTCGCAACACATTTCAAGTGTTAAGAAATCTTATAACCGTTTTGATTATTTGTGGGATAACCAAAACGGTTATAAGTGGGATGAGATTTATTTTTATTGTATATTTGTATTTTTGACAAAGAGGTACTCTGTCTTGTCCCACTGTAAGAGTTTTTTTTCATAAATCGGTCAAGCAAAACCCTCATTTTTTTTTCTGAAATTATGATGTAATTCAGCAACAAAAGCTATGCGAGTACTTTAGTGAAACCTGATCTTTAAAAGAACTTAAGTTTAGGTTCAGGGACTCTCTAAAAGATTGCACATTAAGTTCCGTATTCCCAGTTTGGAAAAAAAAGATTTTTTATGAATGATAAACAGAGCTACGAAACAAAATGCGTAGAACTTTTATAATTTAATTCAAAGGAGCTTCCGGAAAGTGCACCTACTGGTCAGCTGCCACGTTACGTAGATGTAATTGCTGATGGGGACCTTGTTGACATTTGCAAACCTGGAGATAGACTTCGAGTTATAGGGCTTTACAGAGTTCTCCCAAGCAAACAAGGAGGATTTTCAAGTGGATTTTTCAAGTACGTCTACGCGCTGCTTTATTTTAATTCGCTCTTCATGGTAATTTGTTTAAGGTCAATAATTATCGCGAATAACATCCAGCTCTTGAGCAAGGAGATGGTGCCTAATTTTGAGTCGGAAGATATCAAGAACATTAGGAAGATAAGCAAAACCAAAGTACGGTTTAAATTTTCAAAACTTTTATGAAGTGTGGGAAATATTGGAGTCATTAGGTGACCTTCATTTTACTAAAACTTTTAACTCAAGTGAATTTTGTTACAGGGTGTTTTTGATCTGCTTGCTCGCTCTTTAGCTCCATCAATTTGTGGTAACGAAGAGGTTAAGAAGGCAGTCCTTTGTCTTCTTTTGGGTGGAACAGAAAAGATTTTGAGCAATGGGAGCCGGCTTCGTGGCGATATAAATATTTTATTGATTGGTGATCCGTCAGTTGCAAAAAGTCAACTGTTGCGGTATTTCAGATGATTATTTATTATTGCGTCTCCATTTTTACCGCATTATGTTAATCTGAAGGAGTAGAAGACATTTTTTCATTGATATTGATTAATATTTTGCTGAGGCAATTTACCTCTTCAGGTATGTATTGCATACTGCGCCCCGAGCCATAGCAACTACTGGGCGGGGATCGAGTGGTGTGGGATTGACTGCTGCAGTGTCTACCGATCCGGACACTGGTGAAAGACGTTTAGAAGCAGGCGCTATGATTTTAGCAGATAGGGGAATTGTTTGCATTGATGAGTTCGACAAAGTAAGTGGTGTATTCATATAATGTAGAAAGATTTGTCTTTTATTCCAGTAACAAGAATTTTGAGTTCTCAGATTGTAACTGAGTTAACTGTAGATGACCGACATCGACAGGACCGCGATACATGAAGTTATGGAACAAGGTCGAGTAACAATTGCAAAAGCTGGTATCCATGCTAAACTTAATGCTCGTTGTTCTGTCCTAGCTGCGGCAAATCCTGTTTTTGGCCGAGTAAGTTTTGTGAAGTGTATTTGTAAATCAGTCTTTTTTGGAATTTAGTGTATGGACTTTTTAATAGTTTTAAGAATTGGAGTAAGAATGGTTATGAATTGCTGGCCGCTGATAGTTTTCTCTGAACTACAATAATAATTTTGTTTTGGGTTGAGGCGATTTTTACTATGAATGGTACAAAAATTCCTCTAGAAACATTTCTTGCTTTTCTTTTCAGTATAATTTATATAAAACCCCAATGGAGAATATCGGGATGCAGGATTCGTTGCTGTCCAGATTTGACTTAATCTTCGTCTTGTTGGATGAGGTATCCTTCGTAAACTGTAATTTTTGACATCTTTTTAACGCATAGAGATTGTGTATGAAGGCTTGTTATTTGAAGGTTTTGACATTTTCCTCTTAAAGTTCTAGCATTGATTGAGGTTAATTTTGAGAGACAACTTGAGCAGTCTCATACTGCTCGTTTTAGCTGTGTATCTCTTTTACTTAACTGTTTCTGCTGGGAAAACATTAACTGAAAAGCTGCGGAGGCTGTTTTTAGGTGAGGTGAAGAAAATCAGGTTTTGTCAAGGTAGAGTGTAGTTTGAAATGATTAAAATTTTATGAACGGCTTGATGTATTATTAAAATCAGCTCAGATAGATTCGCAGTATTAGGCAAACTGCTGTAAAAAACAATAGAAAACTTCACTTTCAATTTTTAAAATCTTAGGAAGGTTGGGAGTTCCTTCCAGGTCTTCATATGTGCCAAAATTTCCTGCGATTACTCAGCTTTACCTTAATCTCAAAATGTTCTTTTCTTTTTTGGTGAATTTATAAGGGAACGGCTGTCTTCAGTTCAACCTCCAACTCTGCTGACATTTATTGATGGGGGTTTAGCAGGGAAATACCAATTTTTTGTTCAAAGTATGTGATTTGATTAATGTTAGCATGATCCTGTCCGTGATTTGACTGTGGGCGAGCATGTTTTAAAACTTCATCGGTACCGACCTCTTGGTGAAGCGGAGGGTGCTGTACTTAATCCAGCTGGTGAAACGCTCTCGACATTTAATGTGAGGGATGAAGAAGTGTCAACGACAAAGGAAATTTATGAGAAGAACAAAGAGTGGCTTAAAGATGACGGGTGAGCCTATTTCCCAAGTGAGATTTCTCCAGCATAAATAAGAGTTCAAATATTGTAGGAAGAAAATTTTAACAATGCAGTTTGTGAGGAAATATATACATATGGCAAAAGCTGTGAAGCCGAAACTGACTTCATCTGCAGCAGAATATATAAGTGAATGTTACTCGGAGATGCGATCTTTTGATACTTCTAAAACAGATCAAGAAAGGGTAATTTTCTAAAAGTTAAAGGTATCTTGGAAAAGAATGATGAAAGGTTCAAATCCAACTATTCTAGAAAGTCCACATTGAAGCTGTGTATTAAGGAGGTTGAAAAAATTAATTGGTTCTAGACAATGCCCGTTACTGCTCGACAACTGGAGACTCTAATTAGGTTGTCAACTGCAATGGCAAAAACGCGTTTGTCAAGAACTGTAGATAAATCGGATGCGGAAAATGCATATCAGTTGCTGCATTATGCTTGTTTCAAGGAGAAGCCGAGAGAAAGGCTTGAGTTAGAAAAGAAGAAGAGCAGAGGGGATGGAGAGGACGCTTCAGACAGTGAAGAAGATGTCGACGTGAATGAGACGACAAAGGTAATTTGAATAAAAAATTTTTTACTTTTAGTTATTTTTGATGACATCGTTTTTCAGGTTGACAGTGGTATGGATATCTCAGAAGCAGTGTCTTCTCGAACTAGAAGGGCAAAAAGGTATTAGAGTACAGAAACCTCTTTATGGTTTTTGATTCTGGGGTTACTTTTTACTTTTTTTGATTGTAGGGGGGGAGACGAATTTGATGGAACGGTTGATACTGTGGAAAGTCAGCTGTTGGCAGATTCGTCGGAGACATCTGATGAGCCAACACAGCCGCACGCTAAAAAACGGCGCGTTGAGGAAGCTGTTATTGCAGTTGACAGGTTTGTTGATAAACCATTTTTTTAATGAAAATGTAATCTCGGTTTGCAGTGGTCTTTTTTATTATTAGTTCTTACTAATTGGAAGGCTTTGCAGGTACAAGTTGTTTCGGAAGTTTCTCAGAAAAGCTTTTGATGATCTTGGAAGTCCCGATGTCATGGTTGATTTATCCATTATTGTTGAAAGCATTCAGGTTATCTTTTTTTTCTTTTGCTGCACTCTATATTGTTATTTTAAGCGTATTTTACTGTTGATCAAGCTTTATCTTGATTGTTGGGTTTAGAATCAAGCTGGAAATCAGAAATTTTCTGACGGTGAGTTGCAAGCTGCCTTTGAGAGGCTTGGCGATGAGAACATTGCCATGGTGGCTGACGGTCAGATAACGTTGATATAGACGGTATTCTAATCTATGGGGTGAATTATGTTTTCTTTTTTCCTGTGTATCTGATCGTTTTTTATTATTTATGGATCTGTTTCTGTGTCTTTCATTTAATATAAAGTTCTGTACTGTTTTTACGGCTATTTCTGCCACTTATCCGCGACAGCTGCCTTGATCTCTACACTTATTCCATATGTCGAAAAGGACATACTGGTGGTAGAACTTTTGGCCTTATAACTAACGTTCTGATGATTCCTGTGTTTTCTTTTAAGAAAGATCCGTACAGTTTTGGAGATATCTGTAGAGATTTTGTTTCTTATCGAAGAAATTGAAGAGTTGCACAGGCCTTGTTGGTGATGCTTCTTCCGCTCTTTTTCCTTTTTCTATTTCGTTGATCTGGAACGCATGCGGTTATGAAGCAGCACATTGTCAGTAGCTGGTTAGTTGGTAAGTAGGGTTCTTTTCCTCTGTTTTAGAATTCTTTATTATACGTGGTGTTCTGTTGGATTGGAAGGAATTGTTCTGAGCAGAGGTGTTCCCATATGATTGTTTGGGTTTTCCAGAGGTTGAGGCATCCATTTTTTGTTGTCCTTGTATTTATTATCTGTATAAAGTAGTTTGGTTGTAAAAGTAGTGCTCATTTGTTTGGTTGCTGTGAAGAATTTGATTTGATTTCTAGAAAGGAAAGATTGGTAAGCCTTCTTACTGAAAAAAGATTTAGATTAGGAGGAAATATTTTCTTCATCGGTGCAGAAGTCATGGGCGCCGCTGTAGTAGTGTTGTCGGCTGCTTTTTGTGCCGTGTGGGCGTTTTAAACTATCTTTGCGTATGGCTTAGGTGAGAACAGTTGAGTTTTGGTTTTATCAGTATTGCTATTGTGGAAGACTTCTTTCAGTGTTGAATACGTCAGACGTGAGGCCCACGTTTAGAAGTTGCTATTGATGTTTCTAAATGTGTGCGCCACGGATAGACGAGTGGGAGGTTTCAAGGGTTTGGGACGTCTGTGAAGTTTTTTGGGGTGTTTTTGAATTATCTGACTTAAAATTTAGTCTTCTGTATTGGACTCCGTTTTGGTGCTATCAAGGAACTAGGCAGGCATATCCTCCGGTTTTGAAGACGTCATAGCTGTAACAGATGTTTTTGCGCCAGTGCAATCTTTTACTAAGGAATGGAAAAATATTTAGGTGGCAAAGTAAGTAACTTCCGCTTCAGTGGAAACTTCTAATACACGATTTCTCATAATTTTATGCAACAGTAAATTTTAGCAACGTTTTGTACAATCTGTTTGCTGCGATGGAGTAATTGATATTACTTGCCGCAGCCAGCTTTTATTCTCATTTCCTCAGTAACAGTAAACATCGGTCCGTGTCCAGGCACTATTGAATTTGCTAGACATAGCAACTTTCTTCGGGATTCGGTTTGCTCTGTAACATTGTTTGACAGTGGCTTCCACATCATTGGATAAGTGACATCCTCCTTTCTCATGAAAACGTCGCCTGAAATGAACTTAGTTTTGAAACCAATTTGTTATAGTTTTTGCGCTTCCCAAATATTCTGGCAACTTTAAAAACGAGGAGGGGCTGGTCATAAAATGAAGTTTTAAATTTGTCCCAGCAAAGTGCAGTCACATTGTCCAGCAAGAACTTTTTGTATCTTTTTTGAGCAAAAGAAATCTAATTTTTATGTTGCAGATTTCAAAGGCCTACCGGAAATAGCTACAGTGTTATAGTCTTTTGTATTTTTAACAATCACTGAAATATCTTCAGGAGTGTGACCAGGCGTCTTCTGCAGATAAACATTGGTGGTTAGCACTTCTATTTCATCCTTAAAAGTTTCTTTTTTAAGAAGTTGTTGCACCGACTTGTTTTGTTCATTTTGGCTTTGCTGTAAGAATATAGTCAAGCGAGCTCACTTAAATTCAAAGACTATTTTGTGTCAAACTTTTTTGAAAGAAATTAGTTGGAAAGAACACTCGTTGACAGTTTTTATAAAAAGTGGTGCTTGCCCGCAAAAGAAAGCTAGTTAGTTAAAAGCACAAATTTTAATTCATCTCCTTGACACTAGTGTTATTTTCTTCTTTTGGATGAGGACTTTGCAGTGAACTTACTTCAAAAAGAGCGGACAGTTTAAAGCGATTATTTTGATGCTGAAAAACGCTAGTGTAGTGAGTGGCTTTCACAAAATCATTAGTATTACCAGAGTGATCGGGATGCCCGTGTGTAGTCACAACGTAGGATACGTCGGACGGTTTAATACCAAATTTGTTTAATTCTGAAGAATGAATGTATTAGCAATTAGTTGTAAAATGTCAGTGACTGACTTTAAAGAACTTGAAAGCTACGGAGACATCCTCGTTTTATCAACTCACCATTCTCAATGACTTTTCGTATGTCTGATTCTGTACCTAGTCCAGTATCCACAATAATGCTTTTACTGCCATCTAGGATTAAAGTAATAGACGCAGTGAACTCATAGCTGTTTTCGTCGTATTGAATGGCATTACCCTTAAAAGTTGACAGCACTACAGTACTAAAGAAGCCAGATCAAATTTCTACTTTAAAAGTATTTTTATGAGCGTAAAAAAATAGAGAATAGGGTTATAGTAGTTACTTCTCTTAACACATAGACCTCGGGTTTCGATGTTGAATTGACCGATCGTGTTTGCAGTTGCCCAGGTTTTATTTTTCTTTCAATTTCTTCCTGCTGTTTCATTGCGGTTAGAAGAACACTTAACTGCCTAGTTAATTCCTTAATATCGGTTTCTTGTTCACTGTCTAAATTTAAGTAAACCTAGTTCGATTGTTAAGAATTTGCATTGCCTTCATATTGGTATTTTGCTGACAGTTTTTCAAACAGTCATTATCATTTTCTTGTTGAAAGATCATAGCGAAAGATTTGCAGAAAGCATTTACCATGTTTTTTGGATACTTGCAGTTCATTTTTTGATCGGCCAGATTCTTTTTTTTTCTCTAGCGTTGCTGTTATCGACTCAGTTTGATTGTTTGTGTGGCTCAATGAATATCTTAAAATATTCACTGGTAAAAGTCTTTGCACAACTTGATTTGATAGGTTCCTGAGCTGCAGTGATTATAAAAGAGGAAAGCTTAAGTGAAAAGTGATATAGTAGTTTTTTGAATGTTCAGTTTATGGATTTTACGGGGAAAACAAGAAACTCCTAAAAATTTTTTTTAGCTGTCATGATTGGTGCTAACAAGTGATGACGCGGGAAATACAGTATAATTGTTGATTTTCTTTACAGTTCTATAGTGACAAATTAAGGGGTTTGACGTGAAGGAGGTTTTACAAAAGAAGGGGTAAAAAGTTTAGAGCTCGAAAACTTGAGTTATATGACAAATTTTGCTGTTGAATGCATATACTAAGCTTTTATTAAATCCAATGTTTTTTTTTTATGGTTTAAGGTTGTTCTGAAATAAGACTGTTGAAAAAAAATAAATGCTGTTTATCTGTTAGCTTACCTATTAGTATGCTCTTCATTTTTAACTGTGGATGGGGTGAACGTTGTTAAGCGGCTTGATCTGGGAGTTGAATCAATTACAAATGAAGATTTTGAGCTTTTGTGACTGATGGTTCCCGAGTGAACACCGGGGCCTTTTTGCTTTCTTGACTGTGACAACCCACGCATATCGTTTTCATGCTGCAGTTTTCTTGACCTTCTTTTCTTGTTCAGTTTCTAGAAACAAAGTTTACATTTACAAGCTTGTTACAAGTTGTATTCTTTAAGTATCGCATAGTAAAAGTATACTTGTAAAATTGCAGCAAGCTGTTGAAAGTCAAGAGCTTTTTGCGTTAACTCTACTTCTTCGACAGCTTGTCTACTGCTGTGACCGGGTGATGGATAATCATTTTGGCCAATCTGCGAAATTCCAAACTAAAATTATGTGTAATTATTAAACTGATATTTTTTTCAAAAATTGAGCAGTCAAAAGCGGTTACTGCGGTTAATCAGTTATAGATGGTTCTTAGCGGGAAGAATTATAGTTTGAATCTCAAATTCAAAAAAAA